CTTTGGATGTTCTTTTTCACGTCGGCCATCTTGTTATACTCAGTAAGAGATGTCAGTGCAAAACCAGGGAATCACCTTAAACTCCCTACTGACCTTCTGTTCCACCTCAGTGACCTGCTCTTCCACTTATTTAAAATAGTAACCAGTTGTTAATTATTATAAATTCAAAATATTTCTCCTTTCCTGATTGGCTCAAATCTCAAGGCTTATTCTTCATAACCAGCCAGATTAACAACAATTATGAACTAAATTTGCAAGACCTTTGGAATATCCGGTAAATGACGTCAATAGTACAAGCTATCGCCAGAAAAAGTTACGACAACGTAGAAGCCTTGAGGACGAGGTTTCTGCCTACAAACATAGCAAGAACAGCAAAAGAAAAACAGTCAACGGATGATAACTGCTATTTGCTAACTGCTAAACTAAACAGCCATTTGCATCCTAAATTGCCTAAAAACAGCCCAAGGAAGTTGGGAACTTGACATCGATCGAGGTAAGCATGTTTTTAAAGAAAAAATCATTTTAAATACAAAAATAAAACATTTATTGGATTCTGTGTCGTATGATCTGAGTGATACCGGAGATTGTTATCGGCCTCTGCGGGCAACAACCTCCTCGACTTCCATAATTCTTCAGATCATACTCAGCCTCATCCAATAATAGTTAAATAGCTGGATGAAAAAGCCGAATTCAATAATAAATAATGTCATTGATGTGGCTCACTAAGAAAGGATATCAAAAACATACGGCACTGGATACGCAAACTTTCCAAAAAAAAATGACACGAAGTCTGACCGACATAGAGTGCTACAAATCTCCACCAAAACCATAAGTAATCCATCCCGTGAGCACCCGCGCGTCTCTACACCGTGCTGCCGTCATAATATTGATTTCTGATTAATTCGTTCCCATGTCTCTTTACTGTCAGGAAATAAGACTTTTTCAGAGTGTCCATATAAAGAAATTAAGTAATAACCACGGTTCATACAATTTTGTGTTATTAAAATATTATTTTTTTAATCCGGCTGTCATTTTTCGTCTCGGGCGACTTATAAAGCGTCTCAATTTTCAAATTATTTTCCTTAATTAAATAGTTTTTTTGAACAAAATTTTGTGGTCAAGTCTATTTAAATTGACAGACGTGACTCTTTCCCGCTTTGAAAACTTGCTCTTAGGCTTAAGCTCAGTGCCTAGTTAGTTATAAAATGCATTTTGGTAACAATGTTTACTTTATAATAGTTTTTTTTTACTAACATCCTATTAAAGACAGCTGTTCAGTGGCCTTTGTAGCACTGAAGTAGCAGCGATGGCGGATTCCTCTTAAGCATTGATTTAGAATCACATTAACAATGGTTAAAGAGTTGACCAATTTTCTCAGTAAGACCTTTATGTAGTAGTCACTGAAGCCTAAGCTTAGACTGGGTGAACTTGATGTATCTCGTATTTTATGTCAGTTTTGTGTAACCTCAAATAGAAATCACCTGTTGAAGTATATAAAATAAAAACAGTGCTGCGATGTTCATATATAATCACAGAAATTTCACTGAACTTCTTTGTAAAGACTACCTCGTTCTCACACCTGTTCAAACAGCCGGTACCTGTCCCATCCTCGATTGCCTTCTTCTTGCAAACATTGAAGAATAATGACAGCCGTAAGCAGCAGACAGATTTCATCTATAAAACATTTGGAGTAAAAATTTGTTCTCGTTGTAACTTTATTTACTAACTTAACCAATACATGTTATTTTTATAACCATTTTTAGGCCTGAAGAAACGAAATATGACGATATCTCGTTCAAAACTTTAAAGGTCAGTTTTACAAACTTTTATCATTTCGGAGACACGACTATCACATTTTATGTGTTAGTAAAATTTTCTAGATTTGTTTGCTTTTATTTTTGTTCAGCAGGCAAAAATCTTCACAGAACACCGAACCATTCCCTAAACCGCTCCTAGGTTGTTGAATGAATGGTGGTCATGGTTTCATGGAGACGTCTATCAGGCTTTTTTATCGTATTACATTCATGTTTCTTTTGTTTTGGTATGTACAGCGGTATGTTACACCTAAATAAAGTGTTCCCGGTCAGTTTCGGTTAGTTAGCTCTGACAAATCTGTCGATATATAGTAATCATTTTAGACTTTGCTGTTTATTTAGGTGAAGCGTTTAGTTCTTAAAACAACTAGATCATTCTGCAGGAGTTTTATAGTTTACCAGCTGGAAGCCTCCTTTGTTAGAAATGTCATAAATATCACTATAATTGTTAGTGATCTTAAGACACTAAAGACGTCATTTATCCAGATTTTAACGAAAACCACTCTGGTTCAACCATTGAAAATTAGACTGAGTGTATGTATGTGTTATCAAATGGTGACGAGTGAAAATTAAATTAGGGAATAATTTCACTTAAGTTTTGTCCAAATCCTAATAATTTCCCGAGCCTTTTTTGACATGTTTATCCTGGATCGCATTGATCGAGAACTTCCCTCTCTCGAACGTTTAGAGCTTAAATTTGGCTTGAGTTCAGAATTTTTCAACAAAATACCTGTTAGAATCCTTCTTGATGTGCTCTTTCGTGCGTTCAGGTATTTCAAGGCCTCTTTTCATGTCCTGGCATCTTCGTTCATGACATTTTCAACAGGGGCACCCAAAGACCGTTTTCTGGGAAATATCTGTTTGGAGCCCTCTGTTTTGAACTTCGTCGCCATCTTGACACTGAGACGTACGGAAGGTTGCCATGGCAATTTTGTAATTTCACATGTCAAATTACAAATTATCGCTGAAATTTCGCGCCAAAATTAAGGAGTAATTCGTCACCTATGATATTACAATGAGATAAACCCTCGGGGGTTTTTGGATACCAATACAGCTCTAATGTTTCGCGTTCGTCACTGTAGTAGTAGTTAGAAAGACAGAAGGGTATGGAAACACCGTTAAGGTGTCTCAATAGGGTTTTCAGGGTCAATACCTCCCAAGTGTGAGCAAAAAAATTACGTCGCCATTAACAAAGATTTGGAAAACTTTCCACTACAACTGTATTAGGTAAAGATAAAAATTTGTTATTATCAGGGTTACAGTGACATCGGAGTTGTCATAGCAACAAAATGACGCCATTACCTATTTTACTTGAAGCCGTTGCTTGCAACCTACCACTGAGTGATGAGAGGCTCTCACTTGTAAACACGATAATTCCGAATTGTAGCTCTTATTTTACTGCCTTACATTATATCAATAATCTTAAACCTCAAAGGTCATATAATACGACGGTTAATCTCGAGAATCTCAAATTTAAAAAAAAATCTATCGAACGGTTTCAAAATTATTCGCTTATTTGTTAAAGTAGTGTTTACAAAACCGCTAACAAGAGCGCCTGAATAGATACTAATCAAATCCTTCTTTCTCTAGCAATCGGCTAGAGCAATCTCCATGATCTTTCACACATGTCTTTAAAAAGATTAAAAGTTCCATGAGGAGAAATTGCATTTTAAAAGCGCTTTGTTTTCTACAAATAACGGCTGAACATCCAAATTTCTCAGTATTTACTGTATTTCTGACCATAAAAACTTCACCCCAAAATATCTCGATATAATAAACGCTCGCTCTCTCTTAAACTTCACTTTTATCTAGGCGGCTTTGGGAGGAAAACGTTCCGGCGAACGATTTTGGAAAAAAACAGTTCTCAGTGCCGAGAAATACGGTCGCAAGTAAGATAGGTAATAGCGTTATTTCGTTGCTATGACAACTCCTATGTCATTGTTACCCTGATCATAACAAATTTGTGTCTTTATCTAATACAGCTGTGGTGGCAATTTTTTCCAAATCTTTGATAATGGCGAGGTAATTATGCTCAAGCTTGGAAGATATTGACCCTGAAAAACCCTATCGAGCCACCTTAACTTTTACCGGATTTAACAGCTCAAATAGAGCTCAAGGGTCCCTAACGGCCATGGTAAAATTTTGTGCCAGAATGCTAAGAGACTATTAATAGAAAGTTTTCTATTGCCAGAATAGCAATTTTTATTTCTGGATTCTCTGCCATCAGTATAAATTTACAGACTATAATTCGTTTCGTTATTTGTTGACTCTATTTTGCTCACCCTCATTCTTCGAAATGATAAAACATAAATATTTAGCATATACATAGACATGAAGGCATTTCACCGCGACTTTGTTATAATATATAGATTAGTCGACCACTCTTATTATTTTAAGGCGAGATTATTTAGGCTAACATCATAGGTGACGAATTACTCCTTAATTTTGGCGCGAAATTTCAGCGTTAATTTGTAATTTCACATGTGAAATAACTAAATTGCCATGGCAACCTGCCGTACGTCTCCGTTTCAAGATGGCGACGAAGTTTTAAAATGTCATGAATGAAGATGTCAGGGCATAAAAAGACGCTTTAGAAAACCTGAACACACGAAAGAGCACATCAAGAAGGATTCTTAGAGGTATGTTGTCGAAAAATTCTGAAAACTTAAGCCAAATTTCAGCTCTAAACGTTTGAGAGAGTGGAGTTCACGATCGATCGATACGATCCAGGAAAAACAAGTCAAAAATCCTCGATTGCTAAGGCAATTCGTCACCCATGATATTAATAGGTAATCAAATAGTATACTCGTGAAATTAGGGAATAATTTCACTTGCGTAAAGGCTCGGGAAATTATAGGGATTTGGACAAAACGCGCGTGAAATTATTCCCTAATTTCACTCGTCACCATTTGATTACACATACTTACAAAATGATAAGATTGATCAGCCGAAAACGTTAAAAACTAACTGGGCAAAAGCAATCCGAACCTGATTTAAATTTTCTCTTGCTCAGACGCCAGAGACGGTCTTAAACCTCAAGGAAAAGATGGGTTCCCTCGATTGCCTCGTTCTCAAACTGTGCCGAGTTGGCAAGTTATACAATCACCCAAGCAATTCCGCTATTGGCTGCCGAATTTTCAACAATTTCGAAGGAGTCAGGATCCACGACAGACATGGCCTGGTGGGATGCTTCAACTAAAGTATCCTTATCCCTACCAAAAGTTCATCAATCAGCCACTCTCTTACACGAAGCGAAATAACCAACTGAGCCGAGCCTACCAGTTGAGTTCATGGAATAATATTCCTGTAAAGGCAGACATACCCTCTGTTGCCCCAGTTGCTAGGTTATGGCAGAGCGTTAAATCCCTACTAACGCCACTACAACGTACAGCAACCTCTCGGAGCAACGTTGATGAAGACCAGTCGGCTGTTGAGAGAAGAATTCAGGAATATTATGACCAAAGATTGAACAAGAAGAGAAACAAATGGATGTTTAAACCCATCAACGGCACAACCCCCCACTTAAAACACATATTTATTGGACGCTGTTGGGATTTTGTTACAACTAAGAGAAAGAACCTTCAAGATCCAGATAAACTAGATTGTCAAGAGATGTGGAAAGTCTTTTCGAAAAGTTTCGCTTTTAAGGGCCCATGTGACGTGACATACGATGATTACACTCCTTTCTTTAATTTGTACAAGGAAAAGCCTCTTAATAATAGGGTTTGTGCTGTCTTGCTATACAATAGTACTTGGTTGTGCCAAGCCTGTACCAGGCTTTCGGTCAGTGCAGACGAGCGAAAAAAGCGTTCGAGCAGTAAAAACGAGTAAGCAAAAAACGGCGGGACGAGAGAGATAGGGGAAGTCCTGTATGCATCTCTACAAATACCTCAGCCCGCCCACTACCCCGATCGCTCCCAGAAAAATCGTTTCTTGTATCGAAATGACAAATGTTAAAATATCAAAATGTGCCGTGTAAGAGGCCGGGTTTTGCCCGCTCGCTTTCTTTTTTCTTTGTCCAACGACGTAACGGCAACGAGAACGTCGCTTATAATAAAAAGTGAATTTGCGTTTTTTCAGTATTCATCGCGATTATTCCTGAAGATGAATTCCAAGGGACCATATCCAAGTCCAGAAACATGGAGAAAAAAATTTCGTTGTTGCTTGCTTACGTTCTCCATAAAACGCGAAAACGGCAAAGAAATGCACAAAAATGTGTGATGCACGTGCAAAGTTGTTGTTTGCTCATTAAACCTATTTCCTTTTTTGTTTTGTTTTGTTTTTTTTTTGACGTTCTCGTTGCTGTCGTTTTGTTGGATCTTAAAATCCCTATGACGTGGTTGACGTCAAGTGTCAAAATTGACCAATCATAGGGTATATCAGGAGTTGGCATTATGGAATGATGTATTGAAATCCAATGCCTGGAACAGGCTGGGTTGTGTAAGAATCGAATTCAGGAATGGGATTTTCAGTAATAGCATGTCTATTCCTTCGAAGGCAATGTACACTTTTACCCACTATTAGCTACTATTTATAACTCGCGTGTAAAAAACTGAAATCAACTCTCATTGTTTTATTACAAGTTGGTAAGTGTAGGACACGCCTTTTTCTGGCGTAATTAAATTTTAAAGTGTACCTTTTCTCAGTTCAATCTGGTGTTGTTTTTGTTCTTTTTGATATTTAAGGTATTATTCTGGTCTGGGACAAGAGAACTCACCCATGCTTACTCCAGACTGTACGACAAATTCACCACTTTGGAAGATACATTAGCGGGGTAAGATTTACTTGCTTTTTATTTCAGTTTGTTTGTTTAATGGTGGAAATAGTCATAAGTATTCAGGCATTTCTTCTTACAATATCACTTTTTTTGAACAGCCAAGAAATGAGGTCATATCCTTCCTTCCTTTTTCCTTCTTTTATTTATATTCTTCCCTTTATGTCGCTAACATTTAAACGAAAAATAAATCGTTAGCTATTGTTGTTTGATTAAGGGCGTTTTGGCCGAGTGGTTAGCACTGGATTTGTAGATGCGGGTCCAAGTTTTGCCATCGATCTGCTTCTTTGAATAACAAACTTTGCTCCAGTAAGCCGTTTCTTTTCACTAGTGGTACCAACGACATACCGCCATGAACAACCGAATGAGGGAATATCATCCAATCCAGGAAGAGTAGTAACACAGTCAAACCTATATAAAGCGGTCACCATTGGAGAGTGGCTTACTGACCCCTTAATATCCGGTTGACCGTTTATACAGGTTTAATTTAACAAACCTAAGTGTTATTCAAGAAAATATAGATGGTGAAAGAGCAACAAACAATGTATCTATCCCACAAAAAAACGTCCTGAAAGTGCCTCTAGCTCTTCTTTTCCCAAAAGAAAGTAACTAAGAGACTAATAAACGCCATACGTACTGTATCCGTTACACTAGTACTGGTGCAATTGTCAAAGCGATCGTCTAATAGAGGTGAAGACAATGCAAATTAACCCGTTGGGAACGCGACCGTTTAATGGAGGTAACCACATAATAGTGTCAGTTTTATAGTAATTGAGGGAAATGATTTCCGGGATTTTGGTTGGTGACCGCTCTAAAGAGGGTAACCGCTAAACAGAGGTTCGCTTACAGGTTTGGCTGTACTCTTAGGTGTCCCATGCTATGAGCTCTCCCAGTGTAATCGTCATGGCTCTTGGTCCCTCGTAATACACCTTTATCATTTACATGCGACGGTTGGCCAGAAAGAGTTTATCAAGATACTACTATCCTTCTTTTCGCCTACTTTTTGAGACACATCCCCCCCCCCCCCCCCCCTCCCTCCACCTCAAAACACACTCCCCGACGATTTTATTAGTTTTTTCCCCTCGTTGTTTAAGGGCCGTTCAGGGGGGGGGGAGAAAAAAAGAAGGGTTTGTGAGGTGTGTCTTATGTTGCGCCCGCACAAGAACAGAGAATCTCTTTTTGGTCCCACTCTATGAGCTCTCCCAGTTTAATCGTTATGGGTCTTGGTCCCCCTTAATACACCTTTTTCCTTTACAAGGGGGGGTTTGCGCGAAAAAGTTTATCAAAATATTACTTTCCTTTTTTTCCCCTACTTTTTTAGACCCATCCCCCCCCCCCCCCCTTAATCGGTATACCTCAACAGATTCCAAG